TATTTCGGTGATAAATACGAACACTCTGTTGAATGATGACAGTGCCAAAATTAAAATAATAAATAATTGATCTTTACTTTTTTATGCAGTAAACACTCTTGCACCGAACACAATTGAATAAAATATTTTTTCTTGAATGTATGGATTTGATTTTTCAATATTTTTGACAAATTGAAAATTAATATTCTTTTTTGGACTTTCATCTTTTTGGAGGAGAGCTTACTATTTTTTAGTAGTTTATTAGTTAGTTTATTATTTCTACCACTACAAAAATTCAAAGATTTACTGATGAACACAAGTTTTTGTTGAATTGTGGCTTGTTTAATGTAATTTTTTGTGATCTTGTTGGAATTTTTCATTTTTTTGCAAACACGCTCCTTCGTTTTATATTTACTTTTTAATGTAAATATGCACTATGTAGGAACAGCTTACCGACGACTCTCTGTCAAATTAATCATGTAACTATGGAACGATTTTAAATTACCACATATTATTAGTTGCTTTCCTGATGTTATTGAAAACAGAAGTAAAAACGGTAGCTCTTTAATTGTAGTTTGGTTTTTAGGTTTGGATTCCGCGGAACGTAAGTAAAATGAGAAAGGTATATATACATATAGCGTGGACCTATACATACAATGTATCGCCACACGAACTGGAAAACATTATGACCAAGGTGGAGGGTATAATAAACATCGTGTATCTCACTATTTCAATAATCCATAGAACGAAAGTTCATATGTGATATGTCTGGTGCATTCACAAAAAAAAAAAAAAAAAATAATTATTTGCATAAAGTTGGAAATAAGAGTTCGGTAGATATCTGTTATTGACTAAAAAATTTCTGCAATGCATTGTTAACTATTTTATAACTGCATGAACATCAATGTTTTCTTCAAGAGCCCAATTTATATTGGATAATGTAGAACGCAGCAGATCAACTTTACCAAAGTATAGGTTACACGATTTGTTTTAAAATGAACTATGTAATGTTTGAATATTACTGAGTACAATATTTACAACATTAAACATATTCTGTGGCTGACAGAAAAAGAGGACTTTTACACACCGAAGAAGTTACGGTAAAAGAAAAATTAAATCCAACATCCTTTACATTATAGGCAGATTTTATTTGATGAAGACATTGATCGAGAATGATTTCCCAAAAAGATGACAGTTTAGTAAATAATCTACAATATTTTCTCCTGGGACCCATGCTACATTACTAAGATTGAAATATACAACACAAATCATTTCAGCGCTTGAAGCTTTAAAAATGCTTCGTCGGCATTTCCAATTGAAATTTTTTGTGGAAATCTCGGAACATTCAGAGAAAACGCCAAATCTTACATATTATCACATGGTGAGATTATGGTCGTTGTAACTTGGAAAATTCGTTCTGAAACTTGGCAAATATTTGACGGATCAATGCCACAACTCAATGTATGTGAGAAATTTGACATATTCCTTTTTTCATTGTGATTTTATATTGAGCGATCTCGATAATTCTCTTGTTGTGGTTGAACCACATAGTCGTACATCGCGTATCATATTACGACCATTCGAACTTCACAGTGTTGTTTACAAATTAAAAGCTTTGTGAGACAATTAGCTTGTGTGTTAAAATTGATATTATCCAATTTCGCTGCTTTCGAATACCATTCCGCAATTGCCTACAAGGTTCTTCGCTGCGTTTGTATCGGTCTATTGTATCTCGTATGAGAGCATAATAATGCATTGAAGTTTCAATTAGAAAACACTGGATTAAGCTGCCGAGACTTTTTGCCGTTTTAAGGCGACGATATAATTAATGTGTTCTAAGGTACCCATACTAAATTTGTGTTACTTTTAGAGATATTAATTATTTTTAAGGGTATCCAGAATGTTCTTTCCAAATTTTTATGGAGTTTCGCATCACTTCCAAGGATTACGAGATAATCATTTGCTGCCGCCAGAATTTCAGGTTAAATGATTAAATATGTTTTGTTGGTTAAAATTTTGAAAAAAAATAAAATTTACTTTGTTCAAGAGCAAATAATTTCATATTTTCAAAGAGAGATTTCTTCTATATTCGCTCAGATACACTTTTAATATTTTAACGAAATTTTTTTAATCAACAGATATCTATCGAGCACATATTTTACATTTTATGCAAATAATTGTTAACTTTATTTTTTTTGTAGATGCACTAGATGTATTGTGCCCACATATAACATATGAATATTAGTTCTATGGAATATCGAAATGTTTTATTTAAATTCAAAATGTTGACTCCTTGTGGGAATGTACCAGAGGGATTGGGGAATGTATCGTATTAGCTTCTGTATATATATATATATATATATATATATATATATATATATGTATATATAAATATAATATATATATATATATATATATATATATATATATATATATATATATATATATATATATATATGTATATATATATATATATATATATATATGGACCTGGATCAGGTCTGTCCGAACCTGCTCATTCAGCTCACCATTAAATCAGAAACTATGTTACATGCCCGTGAAGATAAATTTTAAAATATAAATGCAATGTGTTGGTGCGCAAGGGGTTAATTGAAAAATATATTTTTTTAATATTAATGATTTTTACCATTTTTTTTTTTTTGGATAAATCAACGTATTTTTAAATTAATTTAAATTAAATTAATTAATTAAATTAATTTAACAGGAAAATGACACAATTTCCCGACGAGGACGAATAACCAGAGTGGTGTTGGCGGTAGGAAAACTGCATGGAAAATGCTGAATTGCACAAAAACTATGCTAGCTGCGTCATTGAGGCGGGTCTTAAATGAAAGGTCTCGAGGAGTACTTTCTGGCTATATATGCCTTATATTCCCAACTGATTTCAGATAATCGAATTTTTTCGATTTTCTAACCAAAGTGGCGGTTTCGGTAGGGAAACTGCATGGAAAATGGTGAATTGCACAAAAACTATGCTAGCTGCGTCATTGAGGCGGGTCTTAAATGAAAGGTCTCGAGGAGTACTTTCTGGCTATATATGCCTTATATTCCCAACTGATTTCAGATAATCGAATTTTTTCGATTTTCTAACCAAAGTGGCGGTTTCGGTAGGGAAACTGCATGGAAAATGCTGAATTGCACAAAAACTATGCTAGCTGCGTCATTGAGGCGGGTCTTAAATGAAAGGTCTCGAGGAGTACTTTCTGGCTATATATGCCTTATATTCCCAACTGATTTCAGATAATCGAATTTTTTCGATTTTCTAACCAAAGTGGCGGTTTCGGTAGGGAAACTGCATGGAAAATGCTGAATTGCACAAAAACTATGCTAGCTGCGTCATTGAGGCGGGTCTTAAATGAAAGGTCTCGAGGAGTACTTTCTGGCTATATATGCCTTATATTCCCAACTGATTTCAGATAATCGAATTTTTTCGATTTTCTAACCAAAGTGGCGGTTTCGGTAGGGAAACTGCATGGAAAATGCTGAATTGCACAAAAACTATGCTAGCTGCGTCATTGAGGCGGGTCTTAAATGAAAGGTCTCGAGGAGTACTTTCTGGCTATATATGCCTTATATTCCCAACTGATTTCAGATAATCGAATTTTTTCGATTTTCTAACCAAAGTGGCGGTTTCGGTAGGGAAACTGCATGGAAAATGCTGAATTGCACAAAAACTATGCTAGCTGCGTCATTGAGGCGGGTCTTAAATGAAAGGTCTCGAGGAGTACTTTCTGGCTATATATGCCTTATATTCCCAACTGATTTCAGATAATCGAATTTTTTCGATTTTCTAACCAAAGTGGCGGTTTCGGTAGGGAAACTGCATGGAAAATGCTGAATTGCACAAAAACTATGCTAGCTGCGTCATTGAGGCGGGTCTTAAATGAAAGTACTCCTCGAGACCTTTCATTTAAGACCCGCCTCAATGACGCAGCTAGCATAGTTTTTGTGCAATTCAGCATTTTCCATGCAGTTTTCCTACCGCCAACACCACTCTGGTTATTCGTCCTCGTCGGGAAATTGTGTCATTTTCCTGTTAAATTAATTTAATTAATTAATTTAATTTAAATTAATTTAAAAATACGTTGATTTATCCAAAAAAAAAAAAAAATGGTAAAAATCATTAATATTAAAAAAATATATTTTTCAATTAACCCCTTGCGCACCAACACATTGCATTTATATTTTAAAATTTATCTTCACGGGCATCTATTTTACCCTGTATGACGTTTTGTAGAAAGTTTATTCAAAGCATTGTTCGGCGACTTGTTAATTAAGGAAGTTTTAAGACGTTAAGTCTGGTTTCATAAGAGGTTAATGTTTCATGATTCCACCAATGACTATGCAAACCGAAAATTGGAAATTGTTTTTGAATTGATTCAATTAAAATAGAGTGTATTGCATAACAGGGGTTCCAGATAATAGAGCCATATGCGAGTAAACTCCGAAGAGAAACAAGTAAAAAAGCATCTAAGTTCGGCGGAGCCGAACTTTTAACATCCTCCACCATTTAGAAGGAACTTGCAAATTTTCAAAAAAAGAAACGAAAACTATCACTTTACTGAAAACCGTTATGTGGGGACTATACGAAGACATGAGCCTGCTTACGAAATTTTTGTCATAGGCTGTAGTACCCATTACGAGTTTGAAAACAGTTTCAGTGAATAATGTCGCTAAAATCATTAAAATATTGATCATCGGGAGGTACCTTTATATGGGGGCTATACGAAGACGTGGACCTGTTCGAAAGATAGGGTGATTACAACGGACTGACATGGTTAGGTCGTCTTAGAATTTTACGCTTATCCAGAATATGTATACTCTGTAGTGTCTAAAGACAAAGCAAATATATCTTACATAGAATGGTGGAGTGTATAAAAATATATAGCTGTTTTGTGGCTAGGGTGTCTGAAAACTCCTTGCTCCGTCAAAAGATTGTAATGAAAAAAAGAAAATGAGATATGTTTGCATTGCATATGTATAGTTCTATCAGATTTACATTGCACTTTGTGTATAAATAATTAAACTAACAGCCTGTTCCACGATATCGAAAGAACACGTTCGCACAACTTTTACACGACAAACAGCTGATTTCCGTTCCACTAAAATCCATCAGAACGAAAATTTGCACGAAAATCAATGCGAAAGAAAACGTAAGCGTTTCAGTGTAATTTTGCGTTCCACTATCTTTTTTCTTTCGTACGCATGCGAACACAAATGTCAAAATCAGTCACTTGTGTGTTTGCTGTCGTACGATAACAATTAAGGAAAATCTGTTTTAACATAAACATTGCTTAATTGAAAATGGAAACAAAAATGTAAGTAAAAATAATAAATCCAATTTAATATGTGAACAATAAATAATTTTTTTTATTTTCTCAATTCCAGCACGAAAAAATCATCAACTACACAGCTGCGGGCACTAGTTGAGTATATGGAGGAGAATCCCGAGTTCGCCAGAGGAGTGCCAATTTTTGGAAGCAGCAGGCAATCCCTGGAAGACCATTGGAAGAAGTTAGTTTTTAAATTAAATACCATGGGTCCTCCTTCCCGCACAATTGCAGAGTGGAAAAAGGTAAGTCAGAAAACTCGGCTTACGATCTATTTGTCTGACCGGCATTACTATTTGCAGACGTGGGCCGATCTAAAGTCCCGCACCAAAAAGAAAATTGCGGAAAATAAAAAAGGGCTGCAAGGTACAGGTGGTGGTTTATACCGGTTTGAGTGCCTAACGGAGCTGGAAACAGCAATTGACCGGACACTCTTCTTGTCGAAGTCCGCAGCACCAAGTGGTAAAACTTTTGGCTACGCGGACGAAATAGATTACTGCTTCGAGGCATTGGATACAACACCATCAAGACCTTCCAAGACCGTAGCAGTGGTAACACCTACCAGGCAGTTCAGCTCCCCAGAATCACATACCCAACAACAACAAATAAACGCACAAACCTGTACCATCACAACTCAACAATACCAACCACCAGCCAAAAGACAAAAAATCTTACCCCATCTCTACACACAAACTGCAAAACAACAGACACAGTCAGCACATACACAACAAACACAGAATGGCAGATTGTGCCGAGGCCCAAACAAAAATGCTTAAATCAATAGAATCAATTCTATCAACTTTTTTGCAAAACAATTCACAAAACAATTCACTATAGTCCTTTTATAATAATTTAAACTAATTTTTTAATTTAATTTATTTAATTTTATTTTAATAAAAAAATTCTTTAATTTTATAAATTTATTGCAATTTTTCTCCTTATTGCGTCAGCTCTGCTTTCAAGATCATTATTGTCATCCACTTCGTCTTCCAGGTCATCATCAATAACATCACCTGGCGGCTCTTCAGATTGGTAGTGTATGCACATGTTGTGCAGCGCACAACATGCATTTATAATTTGCACTACCTTTGCAGCGTCATAATGAAGGCCCCGAGATCCGATGATACATCGGAATCTGTTTTTTAGGACCCCAAAGCACCTTTCAATGACGTTACGCGCACTTGCTTACGATCTATTTGTCTGACCGGCATTACTATTTGCAGACGTGGGCCGATCTAAAGTCCCGCACCAAAAAGAAAATTGCGGAAAATAAAAAAGGGCTGCAAGGTACAGGTGGAGGTTTATACCGGTTTGAGTGCCTAACGGAGCTGGAAACAGCAATTGACCGGACACTCTTCTTGTCGAAGTCCGCAGCACCAAGTGGTAAAACTTTTGGCTACGCGGACGAAATAGATTACTGCTTCGAGGCATTGGATACAACACCATCAAGACCTTCCAAGACCGTAGCAGTGGTAACACCTACCAGGCAGTTCAGCTCCCCAGAATCACATACCCAACAACAACAAATAAACGCACAAACCTGTACCATCACAACTCAACAATACCAACCACCAGCCAAAAGACAAAAAATCTTACCCCATCTCTACACACAAACTGCAAAACAACAGACACAGTCAGCACATACACAACAAACACAGAATGGCAGATTGTGCCGAGGCCCAAACAAAAATGCTTAAATCAATAGAATCAATTCTATCAACTTTTTTGCAAAACAATTCACAAAACAATTCACTATAGTCCTTTTATAATAATTTAAACTAATTTTTTAATTTAATTTATTTAATTTTATTTTAATAAAAAAATTCTTTAATTTTATAAATTTATTGCAATTTTTCTCCTTATTGCGTCAGCTCTGCTTTCAAGATCATTATTGTCATCCACTTCGTCTTCCAGGTCATCATCAATAACATCACCTGGCGGCTCTTCAGATTGGTAGTGTATGCACATGTTGTGCAGCGCACAACATGCATTTATAATTTGCACTACCTTTGCAGCGTCATAATGAAGGCCCCGAGATCCGATGATACATCGGAATCTGTTTTTTAGGACCCCAAAGCACCTTTCAATGACGTTACGCGCACTTGCATGTCTCTTATTGAATTTTTTCTCGGCGGCATCTCTAGGGCTGCGGTAAGGCGTCATGAGAAAGGGCTTCAATTTGTATCCTCCATCCCCTATAAAAAAGAAAACACAAATGTAATTGATGTATTATGATATAAGATGTATACAAATTACTCACCGAGAATCCAAAAGTTTCGTTTTCCATTGTCAAACTCCCTTTGCATACATTTGTCTGGATCACTCATTTCCCATACAAATGCATCATGGTTGCTTCCGGGATGTCTAGCGTCGACAAATGTTATTAGCATTTTATGGTCACATATCTAATTCGAAAAAACACAATAATTTTAAAATCGCTTTACGATAAATGTATTTACTTACCACCATTGCATTTATACTATAATAACCCTTTCTATTATAGTAAAGGGCTTTCAATTCGTCCCCTGGTGACTTGATGCGGATATGCGTGCCATCAACGCATCCAACAATTCCAGGGAACATTGTTCTTTCATAGAAAGCCTCCATTGTGTTGCGTTCCTCTGTGAGTGTCGGCTTTTTTATCCATTGGCCGCAAATGTGGTCCTCAAAAATCTGCAGACATTCCGCAATGGTTCTGCTCACTGTCGACTTCGCTGTTGAAGTCAAGGCTTCGTTCCCTAAATTCTGTTGGTAGCTTCCTGTCGCCAAAAACCGCAAGAATGTGCCAAGTTTTAAATCGGGGCGGATTTGGGTAGTTCTGCAACCGGGCACCCACTTCTCTTCCATCATATCCAAAAGAGCCCGAAAAACTTCCTTCGACACACGAAAATTGACCACAAAGCTGGAAAAAATCATTTTTTATTATTTCAAAAATGTAAAAATACAATCATACTTACTGGTTGTTAGGTACTTCAAATAAATTCGAAGCATCTCTTAAATGCCTCCGTTGCACATTTTGAACCTCCTCCTCATCATCCATAAAAAATAGGGCTACAGAAATATTCATTTTTTTCTTTTTTAAGACACAAATAATCTGAACACAATCACTACAAATTTTATTTTGTTTGTTTATTTACAATTTGTTTGTTTACAACTGAACTGTCAGTTGAGACAGAGCCACTGCTGCTTTTTCGCGTTTAAATTAGACATTTGGCGCTTTTTTTGCCTTATTTCGCGATTAATTTTGCCAAAAAATATTTAGCAACACTGAATCACGTAAGGCTATGCGAAAGAAAGAACGAAAGTTAGTGGAACGCATTCTTATGCGAAAGTGAGTGAGTAGCCTTCGTTCGCACAAATTTTCTTTCGAGATCGTGGAACAGGCTGTAAGACTGACGTAACTTTTGTTCAATTCGAACTTTGGAGGAAAGAACAATTTTCATGCCCTCGGCGTACATTAATACACTTGAGTACTCTATAGTTGTTGGTAGATCATTAATAAAAAGGATAAAAAATAATAGGCCCAAGATGAGTGCCCTGAGGAACACTAGAGGAAATAAGGATTGTTTTTGAAGTAGCATTGTTAAATTTTACTTTTGCGTTGTTCCTGATATATAAGACTTTATTCATTTTCTTGTGATACTCCGAATATTTCAATTCTTTTTAAATAACTCAGTAATTTTAATATTGTTTCAATTACATACGTTTGCATTTTTCATTTGATTCTACTTTGTGTACATTCCATTTTTACAAAAAATAAATAACCACCGCGTTTAATCTCTGCAAGAATATTATAAGAGGTTATGGGCGACATCAAGCAAGAGTCAACCCACGGAATCTTGCAATTTCGTAGAACTAATTTTGAGAACTGCAGTTTTCGAGTGCGGATGTATCTGGATTCGTTGGTTTTGCTGGATACCATAGAAAAAAACTCCACCAGCCAAACAAAGCTTAGCTGAAACATTCTCTAAATCGGCTAGAAAGGCTAAGACAACAATCATCAGCCTAATAGCAGATAATTATTTGGAATGTGTTCACGACAAGAAACTCGACCAGCCAAACAAAGCTTAGCTGAAACATTCTCTAAAAAGGATAGAAAGGCTAAGACAACAATCATCAGCCTAATAGCAGATGATTATTTGGAATGTTTTTACGACAAGAAAACAACGAAGGAGATGTGGTCTGCTCTACAAAGTACATTTGCTAAGAAGTCGGTTACATTGGTAAGTAAAAAATTAGCGGTTCTGCGAAGGCTGAAGGCTGGTGATGATTTGCGAAAATAGTTTCTATTGTTTGATGAGCTTTTAAGAAAATTAACAAGTAAAAAAGCAGTAAGTTCAGCCGGGCCGAACTTTGAATACCCTCCACCATTAAGAACGAATTTGAAAATTTTCGAAAAAGATAACATTCGCCAAAAATTCTGTTAACATTAAAAAAAAAATAGGGCCTGTACGACGTGCACCTACATAGGCATTGCTTGTCACAAGCCATTACCAGATTCAAATTCGAAACTTAGAATAAACGGTGAATAATGTATACAAAATCATCAAAATACCGTACGTAGGGAGGTACCGTTATATAGGAGCTATACGAAGACTTGGACCTGCATAGACAATTTTCTGTCACAGGGTATAGCTTCCATTACGAACTTTAAATACTACATCTCAAACAATTTCGGTGAGTATTTTACCTAAAATCGTCAAAATACCGAATATAAGGAGGTACTGATATATGGGGCCTATACGAAGACCTGGACCTGCATAAGCAATTTTCTTTCACGGACTGTAGTTCCCATTTCGAACTCTAAATACGTAATTTGAAACTACTACGGTGAATAATGACGCTAAAATCATCAAAATACCGAATATTGGGAGGTACCGTTATATGGGGGCTATACGAAGGCGTGGACCTGCATAGACAATTTTCTGCGTTAGGCTGCAGTATCCATTTCGAACTTCAAACACCAAATTTGAAACAATTCCGGTGAATAACGTCGCTAAAATCATCAAAATACCGAATATTGTGAGGTACCGTTATATGGGGACTATACGAAGACGTAAACTTGCACAGACAATTTTCTGTCTCAGGCTGTAGTATCCATTGCGAACTTCAAACACCAAATCTTAAACAATTCCGGTGAATAATGTCACTAAAATCATCAAAATACCGAATATCGGGAAGTACCGTTATATGGGGCTATACGAAGTCGTGGATCTGCATGGGCAATTTTCTGTCACAGATGGTAGTACTCATCAACAACTTTAAATTCCAACTTTGAAACAATTCTGGTGAATAATGTCGCTAAAATCATCAAAATACCGAATATCGGGAGGTACCGTTATATGGGGCTATATGAAAACGTGGACCTACAAGGCCCATTTACGAACTTAACTACTTGCAAAATAGACGTGTGTGCAAAATTTTAGCCTTCCAACCCAATTCGTTCGAAAGATAGAGTGATTACAACAGACAGACGGACATGGCCAAATACTCTTAGAATTTTACGCTGATCAAGAATATATGTACTTTGTTGGTGGTAAGATCATTATTTCGATGAGTTACAAACGGAATGACAAAATATATATAACCTCCATAGTATGGTGGAGGGTATAAAAACGTCTGGAGCAAATGTGGATGAAAGAGATGTCATTGTTCACGCTACCAGAAGCTTTTGACTTGGTAGTGTCCGCATTGGAAAATGTGAATGAAGAAGACGTATCTCTCGAAATAGTTATGCAAAGACTATTGGCAGATGATGCGAAGAGGCAAAATCTTTGCGACATGGATACATTCACGACATCTGCGTTCAGTGCTTGTTCTTCCTTCCCTCTAGCATACTGATATCTAAATCATCATTTTTTATTGCACCAAATTGCGTACCAAATTCTATTAGAGCGTCAGATGCTCTTATGAAAGTCTGTAGAGGAGCGCAGGCCATAATTATAGCAAGAAACGCCGAACAAATTTGGGGAAAAATAAATAAAATAACAATTTTATTTATATTTATTTAATTATCCAAAATGACGGTCTATAGGGTGTATTAATTTTTAAAAGATCAAAAACAACAACAACAATTAAATACACTATAGTATTTATATTATTCTAACTTTAATAATGACTATAATTTTACACACAATGCCAACTAATGTAACAAACAGAGGTGACCGACCAACGTAGTGTAGCTACTCAACCTAAACGGACACGGCAGAAAGAGGAGTAAACAAAAATATTCTTCCTTCGTTTTTAAGTTGGATCACTGATCTAACAAAGCATAAACAACAAGAGCTGATAAAAAAAACAAAACGAACAACAAAAGAATCAGTTTGAAACACTGCACTATACGTAAATGAAAAAAGATACTTGAAACACAAGAGGGTTTTCTTAGTAAAATAAAGAAATATAGGGTAAGTGTGCCTAAGTTCGGCATGTCCCAGTAGTCGGCACTTTTTATTTTTAAGCCCAAATAAATGAAACTATTATAACTAAATGTATTTTGTTTACTTCAAACATATTGTCAGCTATCTTTGTGTACAATTTCGGTAAGAAAAGATGATTTATTCTAATAAAAATTACATTTTTGTCTGTGAACGTCCTCAACAATCCATATTCTTAAGAAAAGTACAATAAAGACGTCGAATAAGTTTAACAAAACAAAAATATTATATTTTAATGAATTAATTTATTATTATTATTAATTATGCTTACAACAAAATTGGTATGCCGACTGTTGGAACATGCCATACCGACAATTGGCAAGTGGTGCCGACTACTGGCAAAAAAGCATTGTTTTAATAAAACTACAAATTTATGAAATTTAATAAAATGTTATTAAAACTTTATTTATTATTGCAAAAACTAAACAAAATTTCGAATCTGAATAAATTAACTTTGTAATAATTGAAAATTTCCATTCAGAATTCTGAGCGATTAAAAACGCGAAAATCATAAAGGTGCCGACTACTGGTACACTTACCCTATATTCTTAGTTTGGTAACGATATTACTTTAAGCACAACGATATGTGATTTCTATGCAAACGATATCGCGGGTGATGTTTGTCCGAATGAAATACTACTACTATAGCGAAATACTACTGATGTCTAAAGGCGGCGGAAAAACAAGTGACAACTAATTACTCCTTCAAATATCAAAGTCGCTAGCACAAGGTTGCAACAAACCGTAGCGCGTACATTTTAACGAATAATTCAGAACCAAATCTAGGGTCACTATAAATCAATATTTTATGTAATTCTAAATTAAACAAGAGGCATCAATGAATATTATTTTGAGGCATAGAGAAGCAAACGAACAACTCGAGAAACAAACTAAGAATATCATCAGCAAATTACCCACAATAAAGATTGAAACTTGATCGAGAAAAATGCGTGTTCAAGGACACAAAGATAAAATTGGTAGGACACATCTCGAATGTATCTGTTTTCTGAAGAGAAACCTGCAATGCTGAGAGTACTGGGCATGCCAACATACCTTGCATTACACATTTGAGGACTGAGAACTGATCATAAAAGACGAAGAATAGTCCGGCCACATCATAAGTTATATTTACAAAACTTGTCTCCGACTTCACTACTCAAATATTATGATCAATATAAAAAACACTTTATTCAGCTCGACAGAAATTACAAACAACTTTTCTACTTGCATTATAGTTATGCGTTATCTATAAAAAAGAGGGGCATAGAAAAAATAGAGAGGGTGAAAAGTTAGAAATGCATGCAATTTCAATATATTCAAAGAAAACAGAAGATAAAACTAAAGACGTTTTTATCCCAGGCTAAATTTGGGGTAGGGAAAACGTAGCCAACAAAGTCAATGATTTGACTGAAATTCTAGTGCAGACAAGACAAGGAGGACTAAATTGATGTTATAAAATTCAGCCTTCAATTTAACAAGCAATAGCAATCAAAATATGATAACTCAAAACTACTTCGCCATTGTTGTAGTAGAAGAGACAATTAAGTTAAGATTTTGGGAAAATATTACATCCGCGTTTAATTGTAAGCTTAAATACAACAAACTAAACATACGCGCAATTAGCGAAACCCTTCTGTGTTTTTCTTTACTTTCGATGTGTTTTCTATAATATCATCTGACAAAATCAACCCCATTGGGAGAACCCCGTCAACACTCGTTCCCTGAGTCGCTATAGTGTTGACTTGACAAGGTGTTTACGCGTCAAAGATTCTTCATATAATCCAAACGCACGGTGCAGAAGGGCCGAAACGATTCTAAAGATAGCATATGACTGCATAAGAGCTTAACATTAATCTGGAAATCGTATTTATGTTTATTCACCCGGAACACATAGACATTACATTTCTTTTAAGTTTTCTAGAATAAAACAATCAATAGTTCCCATTAGTTCGAATTACTTGGGGTAATCCTTGACAACAAAAATAAATGGAAGGATTACATCCACCATGAAGCAACTGAAGCCTGCAGATGTTGCCAATGAGTAGAAGAGGAATATGGTTGAAAAAGGAACTGAATCGTAATATAATCCATTTATTTCACATTATCGCATTTGTGGTCTGAATTTACATCCTTATATAAAAATGTATACGAAATTTTAATGAACAAAAGAAAGTGAAAAAAAAGAAAAAAAGGAAGAAAATGAAACACTTCAAAATGTTTTGATTTCACTAATATCAGTCAAGAGTTTTTTGTATGTCACGATTCCAGATCTAAGGTGTGTCAGTGCGACTGTTAAGAACACAGAATTCATAAACTAAGTTGCTTCTACTCTATGTACTGTTCTTTTTAGATTCATTCTGCATGCACAGTGGTCGAGGTTGTATGGGAACAGCGGCCAAAAATACTTTCAGGGCAGATAACAATATGAATCTTTGGTTATGGTACCTTGATGGGATAATAATATTATGGTTATGGTACCTTGATGGGAAAATAAAAAATGTGACAAAATAGATGTGATCGATGCATGTTTTGGCATGGTCCCCTTACAACCCACCTCCCGTTTATTATTTGCCCAATTCTTGTTAGATTTCTACACCAGATTGTAATATTATTTGACTTTTTACGTTCTAATAATATTATTTGACTTTTTACGAACGAATTTGAAAATTTTCGAAAAAGATAACATTCGCCAAAAATTCTGTTAACATTAAAAAAAAAATAGGGCCTGTACGACGTGCACCTACATAGGCATTGTTTGTCACAAGCCATTACCAGATTCAAATTCGAAACTTAAAATAAACGGTGAATAATGTAGACAAAATCATCAAAATAACTTACATAGGGAGGTACCGTTATATAGGAGCTATACGAAGACCTGGACCTGCATAGACAATTTTCTGTCACAGGCTGTAGCCTCCATTACGAAATTTGAATACGACATCTCAAACAATTTCGGTGAGTATTTTACCTAAAATCGTCAAAAACGGAATATAAGGAGGTACTGATATATGGGGCCTATACGAAGATCTGGACCTGCATAAGCAATTTTCTTTCACGGACTGTAGTTCTCTAAATACGTAATTTGAAACTACTACGGTGAATAATGGCGCTAAAATCATCAAAATACCGAATATTGGGAGGTACCGTTATATGGGGCTATACGAAGACGTGGACCTGCATAGACAATTTTCTGCCTTAGGCTGTAGTATCCATTCCGAACTTCAAACACCAAATCTTAAACAATTCCGGTGAATAATGTCACTAAAATCTTCAAAATACCGAATATCGGGAGGTACCGTTATATGGGGCTATATGAAAACGTGGACCTACATGGCCCATTTACGAACTTAACTACTTGCAAAATAGACATGTGTGCAAAATTTTAGCCTTCCAACCCAATTCGTTCGAAAGATAGAGTGATTACAACAGACAGACGGACATGGCCAAATACTCTTAGAATTTTACGCTGATCAAGAATATATATACTTTGTTGGTGGTAAGATCATTATTTCGATGAGTTACAAACGGAATGACAAAATGGATATAACCTCCATAGTATGGTGGAGGGTATAAAAACGTCTGGAGCAAATGTGGATGAAAGAGATGTCATTGCTCACGCTACCAGAAGCTTTTGACTTGGTAGTGTCCGCATTGGAAAATGTGAATGAAGAAGACGTATCTCTCGAAATAGTTATGCAAAGACTATTGGCAGATGATGCGAAGAGGCAAAATCTTTGCGACATGGATACATCCACGACATCTGCGTTCAGTGCTTGTTCTTCCTTCCCTCTAGCATACTGATATCTAAATCATCATTTTTTATTGCACCAAATTGCGTACCAAATTCTATTAGAGCGTCAGATGCTCTTGTGAAAGTCTGTAGAGGAGCGCAGGCCATAATTATAGCAAGAAACGCCGAACAAATTTGGGGAAAAATAAATAAAATAACAATTTTATTTTTATTTATTTAATTATCCAAAATGACTATAAATGGTCTATAGAGTGTATTAATTTTTAAAATATCAAAAACAACTACAACAATTAAATACACTATAGTATTTATATTATTCTAACTTTAATAATGACTATAATTTTACACACAATGCCAACTAATGTAACAAACAGAGGTGACCGACCAACGTAGTGTAGCTACTCAACCTAAACGGACACGGCAGAAAGAGGAGTAAACAAAAATATTCTTCCTTCGTTTTTAAGTTGGATCACTGATCTAACAAAGCATAAACAACAAGAGCTGATAAAAAAAACAAAACGAACAACAAAAGAATCAGTTTGAAACACTGCACTATACGTAAATGAAAAAAGATACTTGAAACACAAGAGGGTTTTCTTAGTAAAATAAAGAAATATAGGGTAAGTGTGCCTAAGTTCGGCATGTCCCAGTAGTCGGCACTTTTTATTTTTAAGCCCAAATAAATGAAACTATTATAACTAAATGTATTTTGTTTACTTCAAACATATTGTCAGCTATCTTTGTGT